CCCCCCCCCCCCCCCCCCCACCAACACCGCCGCTGCCAATAGTCCAAAAAAATCATCAACCATAACCCGTTCGAAATTCAGCTCATCGGGCAACGAACTGTGGCGCCCGAACCCCGAACCCTGCACAAAATGGCTTTCAGGCAACAACGGACGCTGACCCCGTAATAAAACGAACGACGCACAAACATTAATATCCAAATATACATATATATATATATATATATATATATATATATATATATATATAATTAAATAATTAATAATAATTGATAATAAAATAAAAGATCCGAATAAGATAGATTATCGAAATGATCGAAAAGAGTAGCTGTGACTAAGGGGTCGACGGCGGAGCGACGATTGGGAGCGTAAGGAGGTCGACGATCAAAGCAGGAGACAAAGACGCGTCACAAAAAATTAAACGTAATCTCTCTCACCTTGGCACAGTCTTCAATATCACAGAGTCAGGACGAATCCTTGACAAGGGGCTGCCGGGGGGGTAGGGAGGTGGGGGAGCAGCAGCCTCTTTTCGAAGAACCGCGCGTCGGCACTTCAACGTCGTTGATCAGCACGCGGGGGCAGCCGCCTCCGTGTCCTCTCGTCGTGGCTCCTCTTGGCGCAATGAACGCAACTCACGGCCTCCGAGCGACGACCGCGGCGTCGCCTAACGATCGCCGAGGGAGTCTCGGGCCGCCCGGGCCGAGCGCTCCTGCGCAATCGACCCACGCGCAGCCACATTCAAGGAAAGTTCTAGCGTCCTCGACAGGACGGACAGGGACGTAACGGTCGGAGGGAGTGGCCCGTCACCTCGGGGAACTACCGGGAAACGCAGCCACGGAATCGAATGTCACTCGTGTACGGGAGCCGGGCAGTCGAGCGATCCCATCGAGATGAGCAAACCCGTGTATCGAGCGGAATCAAGGGAGTCGAGCCAAAGGAAACGTGACGCGGCCGGAATTACGTCTGCACCCGAAAGATCGTACGCCATTGAGCACAGGCTGATCGATTTATGGCGGGATTACCGGCCGTATTCTTTCTTCTTCTTCTTCATCATCTTCTTCTTTTTTCTTCCCTTTACTACCTCGGAGGGCTTGCTTTATGACCAGGCGCATGGAATTACTTCGCCTCGTGGTTATTTGGAGATTTATTCAATTTGCAGGGCCGACTACGGTCTGGCGCCACTCAAAAGCCTAACTTTACAGCCACAGCCATTGCGTGCTTTTGCTTCCCTTTTGCTATTACGATGTGCTAGGAAAATTTATCAGAAAATTCACCATTGACCCCGACACCTGCCCACGCACGCGAGCGTGGCTTATGCTTTTGTTGTCGGGGCTTCCTTTACCCGCTTTATTGCAAATTGGAATAGGGTTTGATCATTAGGTAAATTTATTATATCCTAACGATAATGGAAAGTGCCGTGCCTCCTTCGCGTACGTAGGCAATGATAGATATTGCGAAACGCTTGTTGCTCCTTTGTTTTCAACGGTTATATTAATATTAAACAAAATACTGTTGTTATTGGTCTATGAGCCGTGGGTCCACGAGCGATTGGAAATATTTTTCAAGATTCCTGCTTATTTACTTTGCAGAAATTGATGTAAACGATAAGCATTTAATGGCTCTACTGCGAATATGTAACAGTAATATGGCCCCAACGTGTTTTATACACATTCAGGTTTGGAATTCAGTAGCAACCATAACTAAATAAGTAGATACTTTCAGCATATCATAAAATCAGCAATAAGCGTTTGAAACTACCATTAGTGAAGATGGACATTAAACTCAGAGCAATAAAGTTAAGAGTTTTTATAACGGAAACACATGTATGTCGGGTGCACGAATATTCTCTGTGTGTATCTCTCTCTCTCTCTCTCTCTCTCTCTCTCTATGTACTCGCTCGAAGGCATGCGCGCGCGCACGCACACCGCAACCCACACCTCAATATATATATATATATATATATAAATATAATATTAATATTGATTACGTAATTATTATGGCTGGATTTGGAATTAATTTTATAGTAAATTTTAAACTGGGTAAATAAAAATCCTCTAAATGCTTGTATACGATAAACAAAAATACTTTATTAATACTCGAAATTTAATTAAAAATAAATATTTTGATTTCAATGATTAACATAAAAATATAAATATAAATCAAACGACACATTATTCAGTTGCCTTACATAAACATTAATAACCATTGCAATTACAAAGTGCAATGATTTTGAACTAATTGTCTGGTAGATTATACAAAATTTCAAAAATAACAACCCTCAAAAATCAAAACGATATAAATTAATTTAGCAACGAATTTTTTAATTTAATTACTGCAATAATTATATTTAATACAATGTTTATTCGATACAATTATCTTTTCAGTAACTTCATTTGTAAGATTAAATAACAATATACTAAATATTGAAAATTATGATTGAAACAATCCAATCCAAATTAATTACATCAGAAGCTTATATGTTGATTGACTTTACAGTATTAGAAAAATTTTATATACACTTTAATCAATACAAATGAATAGTATTGCCCTAAACACTCATATAAACGTTGCATCTATTTAATTATCCACATAAATTGTTAACAGACTTATATGCGTCGCTTTTGTTATATTTCTTGAATTCTTGAATAAGTTTTTTATATTTTAATGATAAATATACTAGCTTGTCTACATTTTTATTTATATCTAATTTTTGAAACCATGACATAATCAACTTGATTGCATTAGGATTATCGTACGCGAAGAAATATTTCTTAAGACAGTTACTTTAATTAAACAGAGATCCTGCTGGTTTCTAATATCACATTAAATAAGATTAATAAATGCTTAAAGCGATGCTTAAATGCAATATAAATATAATTATAAATTGGTTTCACAATAGATTGATATTATAATGATAAATGAGACAAATTTTTACAGAAAATCATTGTGTCTAACATACGCAAATTATATATATAAATAACAATATTAACAAGTTATAATAAGTAAGTTAATTCTGTAAGAAGAATTTTTCAACACTATTATCAATAGACATCTTTATGACGATACTAAGATTATTTTTGTATACATTTGATTTTTATTTAAGATTGCTATTCAATCATTTAACATTGCTATTCACACCAAAAAATTTAAGATTGCTATTCAATCATTTTGTCACGACTGTAAAATGTGTTAAATTTAAAAGTCATAAACTAAAAATATTTTTATATTCACAATTTTGATGTAATCGTTAATTAAATTAGAAACAAGCCTACATTTGTACTAAGCAATAGCCATTTCTAATAATTTACTAGAAAAATATGTAAATATTTGTAGCATACTTTATTTTGTATAAGCAAATTAAATATTATTACAAAATTATTCGAATAGAAATAAAAAATTAATCGTTGAATATCTTAATTTCATTTTTGTTCACATACCAAACTATCCGTTTGCTGAACTTAATGTGATAATTTATATTTACTTAATATACAAAATACAATAATATATTAAACGCACAAATTCTTCAACTATAGTATTTATTTATATATTATAATAAAAATATATAAACAGTATTTAACTACAAATTACGAAGAAATATTATACAAGTTTTTACATAAATATATTAAAAATTTATAATTCAAAACGCTTTATTTTATAATTATGGCAAAGCCTATTTAAAGATCATAATATTTTTAATAAGAATTCGTATAATTTTTTTTTTTTTTTTTAATATAAAAATATGTTTTATTCTATTGTTCTCGCTTTTAATTTATATACCTGTAAACCTATTATTATGATAAATAATAATTTTAAAACCAATGAATTTTATCTACTCCACGCTTAGCTTCCTATCTTTTCACGTTGAGTATTCAAATTGTGAAAGAAATAACAAATCTGAAATAAATACGAAATTTAATATTATCGTAAAAAATGGTATTTGCATTACATTTATATCTACTATAACCACTGTAAAATTATATTAATAACATTAATACTCTGAACGGGTAACAATTAGAATAATACACTTGTATAAAGTACTTTATCTTATAAAAGTGAAAAAAATACTATTATGGTAATCGCTAGATCATACATAATATTTATTATATATTTATGTATAAAATTAAGTGTAAATTGTAAAGTTAAATATTAATTTTTTTTATTCCTAAAATATTTAAAATTTTTATAATTTAATGTCGTAGGAAATTAAAAAGAAAATAATAATATTAAATTTACATTAGTTACCAAATTAATAATATATTGAATATTGTGTAGAAATTATTTTTAATTAAGAATTTTAAAAAGTCTTTTGAAAATGATATAATTGAGAATACTTTTTAATTGATAAAATAAATATTTTACTTTACTCTTTACGTAGAAACTGTATATCGTAAACGATACCTTTTCAAAAATATTAATGCACCATTCCATTATGAAGGCTTGTATAAAAAGGTTAATATGATTTAACTATAATGTTTTTGCTAATGTAAACAATCGATCCCCAAAAATAAAATACAGATAAAAAATTAAAATATCTTATGTTAAAGAATAAAATGTAATCACCATCGCTATAATGCAAAACTCTATGAGAGTAGTAGAAATTTGTTTTAGCAATTTTTTTGCTATCGTCTACTTTTATACATGTTATCCATCAATATTTATTTTCATTGACAATTATTATATGAAATCATTAGTAGTTTCATAATTCTTATCCCGTAAACATTGTTTAAATCTGTAAAAAGTGTAATTATTTTAATTAGTTGGCATTAGTAATATTTTATTAATTATAACTTTATATTTACCCGATAAGAATAAAGAAAAATGTAAACAATATTCTATTATTCATTCATATTCTTCTAAGAAATTATCTTGAGTAAATGTGGTTTAACATCTCTAATTTTCATCAACTTATTAGTCTATCCGTATATTTTTTAATCCATATATTCTCTGATGTTTTAAAATATATCGAAAATCGATGTAATTGGATCATCTTTTTTTTTTTGTAAAAACTTTATTGCGGCGACAACACATGCTGTAAAAAATAGGATTTAATTAGTTTTATATGAAACATTGATACAAGTAAAATAATTTCATGAATATGTCATTAACGACAAGAATTATTATTATTATATATTCTAAAAATTTAAGAAATTATTAATTATGTAACAACTGATAATAATTACAATAATTTCAACCGAGTAAAATAATGAAATTTTTTATGTATGATCATTTGAGTTCATTTTTTATGTGACTAATAAGTGTTTTATTTAATCCATTATCGTGAAATAAAGCAGATTTTTGTATATCTTAAGTAATAATATCAAATAAGAGGAGATTATGATTACGTGCACTTAATTATAACATTATTTTTATTTATATACATAACAATTTTCCTCTTACTGAAAACCTTACGAGTAACTTGAATTGACAATTGAACAATAATTATTACATGCTTCTAATATAAATTATAAGCATTGAAATTGAAATAATTAAATCTGCTCGGTCTAAATATAAAAAAGATTGTTTATGTCCGAATTATATAACAAACATATTCACCAAATATTAAGATGAAATATACGGAAGAAATATAATAAGATAACAATAATTCGTTTTCTTTAAATTTAATGTCTTTTCATTTAGACTATTGATTATCAAG